CCATATGACAGCTTCCCCATACATTTGCTATCTAGAGAGAGGACCTAGGGAGGCCCCTTCCAGTGCTTGCGTTAAGTGTTCTGGGCGCCAGTGTCTTGTGGTCGTAAGATGGAACTACAAAGAGCCCATCTTGCCTTGCTCTAAGTAGAGTCCTCTGTACTCTGGGCACCAAATCTCTTGTCTGAGACTAAGCAGATTTTGCATGAAAACCGTAATTGTTCTGGAACCATCTTACTGCAACTCTGAAAAAGAATGTTTTTAAGTAGGTTCCGATCAGTACCATACCACAATACAGTTAGAGGTTGTTACTTGAGAGAGTGGAAGAAGAGGAAGAGAAACCAGCGTGACCTGCAGGTGTTATTCAGGACTCAGCAGCTTCCTGAGAGGCAGCAAATAAGGAAACAAATCTTGTCCTCTCTCCAAGTCTCCAAGATGACACGTGGGTGAGAGGAAATTTTGTAACACCAGCCTCTGCCTGGCTAAGGCAGCTAAGAGAATGGACTCTTCCCTGGCAGTGCCACATTTCCATGGAAAACCTATTAGGTATTGCTTTTATTTCCACATAGAGTAGCATGAAGAGCCAGAGGTTGGATAAGGACAAGCCAGCATTGCACCTACCCTGGCTGGCCGTCTAGCCGGGGCCCTGCCCTCCTGGCATCAGACTGGTGAGAGTGTCCTTTGGCTGGAAACAAGATAGAGGGTGAAGATGGAAACAACAGAACCATGCCTCACCTCAGACTGCTCACCTCTTGCTGGAATTCAGTATCTCGTGCCTTTCCTCCCCCTGAGGGGCTCACATTTAGAGTTTATAAATGCAACTGTCAGTCATTAAGTGAGTAGCTTGGGCAGAGTTCTGTGCGAGGGGCAGCAGAGGATGCAAAGGTCTGTAATAAATCTCCCTGTCCTTCTTGGTGCTTACTGTTCACTGAGAGGGAGGCAGAATGACAAGAACATAAAACTCTAGGAGTGTTGAAGGATTAAGTGAAACCATATGTACAACAGTGAGGCCTGGTGCCCTGAAAGAGGGTATTCATTGAAGCTCTTTTAGCGCTCTGATGATGGTTATACAAAGCAGGATACATCATGAGAAGCTGGAACTAAGCACCATGGGATCCACAGAGGGAAAGCTTACATCCATTTGGGGAAATCAGAGACTTCATGAAGAAGTGGCACTGATTGTGGCTTTGTCAGGATAGTGGGGATCCTGGGCAGCAGGACGATGGGATGGCAGCAATTTCTATCTCTGTCACCAGCTGCGAGACCTTGGGAAAGTTGGTCATTTTAAGCCTTAGGCTCCTCATGTCTAGAATGCAAAGTAATACTCTAAATTATAGTTTTCTTTTTTTGTTTTTTTTTTTTTGAGACGGAGTTTTGCCCTTTCGCCCAGGCTGGAGTGAAGTGGCTCCATCTCAGCTCACTGCAACCTCTGCCTCCTGGGTTCAAGCGATTCTCCTGCCTCAGCCTCCTGAGTAGCTGGGATTACAGGCACGCACCACCATGCCCAGCTAACTTTTGTATTTTTAGTAGAGACGGGGTTTCACCATGTTGCCCAGGCTGGTCTCAAACTCCTGATAG